GAAGCCGATGCCGGTCCAGGCCCCGAGGCTCAGGTCTGGGGGGGGGGTAAAAACCAATTAGACTGAGTCCATCTATTATCTGAGACAATTCAAAGAGCTTCACAGATAATTTGAAAGCAGAAATACAAGAAATAAAAAAAGCTGTGTCAGCAGAAAAGCTGTGAGAAGAGTTGAAGAAAGAAGGCTGAATGGAGGAATCGTTTGAAAGAGCAGAAAATCACCAAGTACAAGAAGATTTGAGCGGGATTTGAACCAGCGACCTCTGGATTGGTGGTCAATCGCTCTACCACTGAGATTTACCACAGGCTGCCGTAATGCCAGTGACCAGCAGAGGGAGCCATATTTATTTTGTTCCATTCATTTCAATGAGAGGAATAAGATTACATATCTTAAAAGTTTAAAAGATCTTAACACCAAAAGTCGTAGCTTCATAGTCCTGAAACAGCTGAACATTTTGAGACCTTATTTGTTGAAATAGGCTGAAAGGTGTAGGAGTAATTAGAAAAACATACGGAATAATGAACTAGAATATGGCTATATATATGACTAGTGGTGAATGGAGGAAGAAGAAGAAGAAGCCAAAGAAAAGCAGAAAAAGACATGGAATTGAAAAGTTGAGGAAAAAAGGCTGAACGGAGGAATAATTTGAAAGATTTGACCACTGAGCTATACCACAGGCCAAAGAGCTCTATAGGAATACATACAGTAGGAACATTTGAAGGTGCTAAAATGCCAGTGACCAGCAGAGGGAGCCATATTTTTTCCTCCATTCATTTCAATGAGAGGAATAAGGCAGAAAAAGTTAAATATCTTAGAAAGTTGGAAAGATTTGAGCAACAAAAGTGAGAGCTGCATAGTCCTGAGATAGCTGAACATTTTGATAGCTTATTTTTTTAAATAGGCTAAAAGGTGTAGGAGTAGTTAGACGCAGAAAAAAGTACGGAATAAAGAATAATAAAGACAAACAGTAGGCATTAGACAGATGAAAAGTTTAGGGAGCAGATTAAATCCATCCAGTTTCCATCAGTTAAACAGATGTTTTCATCTGGATTTAAACATCCAGAGTTGGGTTCTGTCTCACGTCTTCAGGAAGACTGATCCAGATTTTAGGAGCATATTTCCTCGTTCTGAACTTGACTGATGTGGTCCTGGTTCCTGGTTCTGAACTGGACTAATGTGGTCCTGGTTCTTGGTTCTGAACTGGACTAATGTGGTCCTTGTTCTTGGTTCTGAACTGGACTGATGTGGTCTTGGTTCCTGGTTCTGAACTTGACTAATGTGGTCCTGGTTCTTGGTTCTGAACTGGACTGATGTGGTCCTGGTTCCTGGTTCTGAACTGGACTGATGTGGTCCTGTTTCCTGGTTCTGAACTGGACCGATGTGGTCCTGGTTCCTGGTTCTGAACTGGACCGATGTGGTCCTGGTTCTTGGTTCTGAACTGGACTAATGTGGTCCTATTTCCTGGTTCTGAACTGGACT